CTACTGATATCTACACAAGGTAACGGAAGTAAGATAGGAGAGAGAGGAATAGGTAAATTGCATTTTTTTGGACTGTAAGGAGTCTTTCGACTCCATACCACACGAGAGACTGGTTGAAAAACTAGAGGAGCAGGCAATAATATCAGGGGAAAGTTCTGCAATGGATCAGGGAATAACTTGCAGGAAGGTGTGATGTAACGTGATGAGGTGTCAGAGTGGGCGCATGTACCTAGTAGTGTTCCACAAGGGCCATTCCTAGGTCCGGTATTGTTTCTTGTATATGTGAATGACATGACGGAAGGGATGGATTCAGTGATGGCCCTGTTAACTAATGAAGTGATTACAAGCGAACGAGGGTGTGCAGGCTGCAAGCCTGGTCCGAAAAATGGCTCCTGGAGTTTAACCCCACTAAGTGCAAAGTCATTAAGCTTGGAGAAGGACAAAGAAGACCACAGACCTAGTACAGGCTATGGGGTCAAACGCTGCAAAATTTACTCAAAGAAAAGGATCTTGGGGTGAACTTCATACCGAGCACATCTATCTAGGCGCACATCAGCACGAGAGCTCACTTGGAGGTTGAAAACTGAGATGAGTCATAGGGATGTTAGGAAATACTTCTCCAGCCTTCGAGTAGTCTGGAAGTGGAACGAACTGGAGAGTGATGTCGTAGAGGCATACTGTATGCATAACTTTAAAAAGACATACAATGAGGCTGTCGAAGCCAGGAGTAAGTGACCAGTAGCGACCAGCAAAGAGGCAGAGTAAGGAACCGTGATTGTAATCAATGGTAATTAATCACGGTGTGAGTAATTACTCACACACACAAACTCATTATCGAACAGTAATTGGCAATTTAAAACAGAAGCCAGGGCAGGCAGACAGGTGTCTATTAGACTAGAATCTTTAGGAAGAAGAATAAGCCTGGTCATGGGGCCCCGTGGCCTGGCTGGCAAATCTCTCGCTTCACACGCGAAGGGCCCAGGTTCGATTCCATGTGGGTGGAAACATTTCGACGCGTTTCCTTACACCTGTTGTTCTGTTCACCTAAGTGCTAGTCGACTTGTGTGGGTCGCATCCTGGGGGACAAGACTGAGGACCCCATGGAAATAAGACAGTCCTCGATGAAGCACTGCTTTCTTGGATTATCCTGGGTGGCTTACCCTCCGGGGTTAAAAAGCCGAACGAAATGTTACCATATCTTAAAAGGTACAAGCTAGTAGGAGGTTGTTGGGTCAGTCAGGTCAGCACAGCATCACGTGTAACATGAGAAAGCGCAGACAAACACAACACACACACACATGCTTCCTAACACACTCCCAGCCATTACTTTTTACAATCTCTCACACTCACATATCCCACACACTCTCAGACCCACACTCACACATCCACAATCTTACACCCACACTCATACACTCACATTCATCATCGGCACACCCACTCCAACATTCATATACCCACATACACTCATACACCCACACTCAACAACATCAATAACTCATACCTCACACACACATACACACACACACTCACACACACATACACACACACACACACACACATACACACACACACACACAACACACACACACACACACACACACACACACACACACACACACACACACACACACACACACACACACACACACACACACCACACACACACACACACACACACACACACACACACACACACACACACACACACACACACACACACACACACACACAACCACACACAGACACACACACAAGACACAACACACACAGACACACACACAGTAAGAGGCGGGGCCAGGAGCTTGGACTCGTCCCCTGCAATCTCAACTAGGTGTGTACAACTAGGTGAGTGAGTACAGACACACACATACACACACATACACACCATACACATACACAGACACACACACACACACACACACACACACACACACACACAAACATACACACACACATACACACACACACACTAACATACACACACACACACATACACACGCATGCACATACAACAGGCCTAGTGTCTAATCGATATGTGCCTAGGACCAAATGGTAACTAAACAAACACCACACAAACACACCACACACCCCACCGCGCGCGCGCGCGCGCGCAACGCGACTAGTCCCGGAACTAAGGGGCATGTCCTACGAGGAGAGTTTAAGAGAACTACCTGACAATACTGGAGGACACGAGGGACAGGGACAACATGATAACGACATATCAAATACTGAAAGGATTCGACAAGGTGAACAGAGACAGGTTGTTCCAGAGATGGAACACAGCAACAAGGGGTCACAATTGCAAGTTGAAGACTCAAATGAGTCACAGGAATGTTAGGAAGTATTCCTTCAGTCATGGAGTTATCAGGAAGTGGAATAGTCTGGAAAGTGAGATAGCGGAGGCAGGTATCACACTTAGCTTTAAGAAGAGGTATGATAAAGATCATGGAGCAGGGAGAGAGTGGATCTAGTGGCGACCAGTGGAATTGGGGCCAAGAGCTATGAATCGACCCCTGCAACCACAGTTAAGTGAGTACACACGTGCACACACACACACACACACACACACACACACACACACACACACACACACATACACACACACACACACAGCGGATATGTTGTGTGTGCCACTTACCACAATCTTCAGCACGTCCCTGGAAACTGGGCAACTACCTGAGGTATGGAAGACGGGAAATGTAGTTCCCATTTTTAAAAAAGGAGACAGAAAAGAGGCACTAAACTATAGACCAGTGTCACTGACGTGTATAGTATGCAAAGTTATGGAGAACATTATCAGGAGGAGAGTGGTGGAGCACCTGGAACGGAACCTGGAATCCATGCCAACCAGCATGGATTCATGGAAGGAAAATCCTGTGTCACAAACCTTCTGGAGTTTTATGATAAAGTAACAGAAGTAAGACACGAGAGAGAGGGGTGGGTTGATCGCATCTTCTTGGACTGCAAGAAGGCCTTTGACACAGTTCCTTACAAGAGATTAGTGCAGAAGCTAGAGGATCAGGCTCATATAACAGGAAGGGCACTGCAATGGATCAGAGAATACCTGACAGGGAGGCAACAACGAATCATGGTACGTAATGATGTATCACAATGGGCACCTGTGACGAGCGGGGTCCCACAGGGGTCGGTCCTAGGACCAGTGCTATTTTTGGTATATGTGAACGACATGATGGAAGGGTTAGACTCAGAAGTGTCCCTGTTCGCAGGCGATGCGAAGTTAATGAGAAGAATTAAATCAGATGAGGACCGGGCAGGACTTTAAAGAGACCTGGACAGATTGGACACCTGGTCCAGCAACTGGCTTCTCGAATTTAATCCGGCAAAATGCAAAGTCATGAAGATAGGGGAAGGGCAAAGAAGACCTCAGACAGAGTATAGGCTAGGTGGCCAAAGACTGCAAACCTCGCTCAAGGAGAAAGATCTTGGAGTGAATATAACACCGAGCATGTCTCCGGAAGTACACATCAACCAGGTAACTGCTGCAGCATATGGGCGCCTGGCAAACCTGAGAACAGCGTTCCGATACCCTAATAAGGGATCGTTCAAGACACTCTACACCGTGCACGTCAGGCCCATACTGGAGTATGCAGCACCTGTTTGGAACCCGCACTTGATAAAGCACGTCAAGAAACTAGAGAAAGTGCAAAGGCTTGCGACAAGGTTAGTTCCAGAGCTAAGGGGAATGTCCTATGAAGGGAAATCGGCCTGACGACACTGGAGGACAGGAGGGTCGGGGGAGACATGATAACGACATATAAAATACACAAATAGACAAGGTGGACAAAGACAGGATGTTCCAGGGAGGGGACCAGAAACAAGAGGTCACAATTGGAAGTTTACGACACAGATGAGTCAGAGAGATATTAGGAAGTATTTCTTCAGTCATAGAGTTGTCAGGCAGTGGAATAGCCTAGAAAGTGATGTAGTGGAGGCAGGAACCATACATAGTTTTGAGACGAGGTATGATAAAGCTCATGGAGCGGGGAGAGAGAGGACCCAGTAGCAACCGGTGAAGAGGCGGGGCCAGGAGCTAGGACTCGACCCCTGCAACCACAAATAGGTGAGTACAAATAGGTGAGTACACACGTGTACGCACGCACGTACACTAACATAAATCTAAATATATTCACAACTGGACATACATTGGTATAATAAAACTGGGTTTGTTCATTTAATGGTAGGTGCATTATAGAGTGACAGGTGCAGTATTCAAGAACAGGTGTAATGTATCTGATGATACATCTCGCCGTCAGTGACCACAACAGCGTCATTATTACTACCGCTTGGAAAATGATATTGATGGACAATGAGAACCTTCAAGCCAAGGGATGCCATGCCGGTAATGATCCTCTTAGGTCACTTGTTCTATTAAGGCTGGAATATTGCTGTACACTAATAGCCACTTTCAAGGTAGGCGAAACTGTAGATATGGAGAGTGTACACAGGGCTTTCACTGCAGGTGTAAGTTCGGTACAGCACCCCAGTTACTGGGAATGTTTAAATTACCTTCACCTGTACATTTTAGAGTTAAGCCGAGAAAGGGGTCTCATAATTTGCACCTGGAATATCCTAGAGGAACTAGAACCGAAATCTCTCACACAGAAATCACTCCTTATGAAAGCTAAGCACTGGGCAGAGGATGCAACGTACTCCCAATGAAGAGCAAGGATGCAGTGAGTGCACTGAGAGAAAACACAATAAGTATCAATGTCTGAAGACAGTTCAACAATCTCCCATCATAATTTGTTTAGATTGCCAATAATCCTGTGCCTGTCTTCAAGAGGGACTTGGACAGATACCTAAAGCCAGTGCCTGACCAGCTAGGTTGTGGTCCATATGTTGGGTTGCTTGTTACCAGCAGTAACAGCCTGGTTGATCCAATAACAGGCCTTGGGGGGGGGGGTCTTGACTCAAGTAGGTAAACGTCAGTATTAAAGGTACATATATGAGAAATTATTTATGAAGAAAGAAGCACTTAC